TACGTACTAATAAAAATTGAAAAAAGGAAGCATTTCAGTCATTTGTAGGAAAATGATATACCATGAGACCATGATGTTATATAAAATAAATCAGATGCAGACGGTTAAAAATCACATGGTTTCTCTTCCATGAGAAGCCCAAAGTATTAGTAATATAAAGAGAAAAATAAAAGATAATAGGAAGCAGGGGAATAGAACTTGTAGAAATGGGAAGGGGATCTGAGGGTGGTTGAGGCAGGAGGGAGGGAGGGGAAGAGAAAGATGGGATGTGTGTCTGTACCAATTCCCCACAATGCATGTGTTTATTATATATTGAAAACATATAATAATAAAATAAAAACACAATCAAGTCATCCTAACCCCTTTTGCTGCTTATCACCTCACAGGCCTTGGGCCATAGATTCTCTACTTTACTACTCTTTTCTCCCATCCTCAGGATAGACTGCTATCCTGTTTGTTTGTTTGCTTATTTATTTATTTTATTTTCATGTGTTTAGCACAGGGCCTACAGGGTCTCACTGCACAGATCAGACTTGTAGTGATTCTCCTGTTTTTCAGCCTCCCAAGTCCTGGGATTACAGGCTCATGTCACCACGCCCAGTCTCAGTTGCTGTCTCAGCATGTCTCAGGGGCGGGGCCTGTACGACAGGGGGATTGAACCCCGATCCCCTGCGCTTTCCTAAGCTGTTGCTTTAGTCCACTGAGCTATCTGGCCAGCCCGCTATCCTGTTTATTGAGCCTCTACTGTGTGTGTGGCACTCGTTAAATACTCCCTAGTATATTATCTCATGTAATACTTATAATTCTATGAGAGACACCCTTATCCCCATCTTACAGATGAGAAAAATACAGAAAAGTTAAAAGCCTTGCTCCCATTCACTGTATTGCTCTTGGGTTCATCTGCCTATAACGTGAAACAAGCCGTCAGTGATGCAGATGAGTTTATTTCTTTCTTACGGAAAAGACTTCCAACAGGAGGCAGTGCAGAGCTGCGATGGCAGCCTCCTGGTATAAATAGAGCCCTGAACTCCTACTGCTGTGTTCCACAGCATGGACTGAAGTTTCCCTTTCATGATCAACTCATGATCCAACATGGCTCCTGGAACTTCAGAAATCTTACCTCCATTCCATCTAACACAAGACAAAGAAGAGAAAGAATAGATATCCCTTTAAAGGAACCTTTCTAGAAGTTCCATATTGTATTGTGATTTATAGGCCACTGGCCATCATTAGAATCCTAGCCATAGCACAGGAGGCTGGGAAATAGGCATTTTCAGCATGGCAATGCACCCAGTTAAAAATCGGAGCTGTGTGACTGAGAGCTACGTACAAACGCTGGTGTAGACTATTAGCCATCTGCGAGTCAGCTGGGAAGCGCTAGACTGAAGACTCAGATCCAGCCAGTGGGTCCTCTTCAGGCCACCAAACCCTTCCTCCTGAGCCTGTGTCCCTCCCTAGCTACCTAGGAAGTAAGCATTGAGGACACAGGAACTGTCAGTGCCATGAAGCTGGGTTCCCTGCATAAAAGGCCATGTGCCTTCTCCCCCTCACACCCAGAACTGCCTAGAAGCCCCCAGTCCTCGGGCATGGGACTCACACCACAGGCACAGATGGGCAGCATTTGCAGGCCCTGGGCCCCAGGCTGAGGGCTTGCTGGGTTTGTGAGTCTTCTGGAAAACTGGTCAGGGGTGTGATGTTTCTAGCCAGCAACATCTCCAGAGAATGAGCCTGAAACTTTGCTGGGGGATGGGCCATCTCTGAGGTCTCCACTGGTTCCAAGATTCTATGACAGCTCCATCTGGTGCAGTGGAACACCGAAATAGGGAAAGAGTATCCTTACCAGAGAGCAGATGTCACTGAGAAATCAGGCTGAACTGTAGATGCTCACGATGGGAACACACAGAACAGGATTCTGAAAGATGAGCACTGACACCTGAAGTCCCCAACATCAACAGTTACTTTGCAGGAGTGAAGCAGCGTGGGGGAACCTCAGGGAGAAGAAAGAGCAGACCTTGGAGCGAGTCCAGGGGTACTTCCTTGAGGCTTGGAAGATGGGCTGTGAGTATGCTGGGGATAGTCAGAAGGTCCTCAGTGTCCCAGTGCTGGACACTTCTTTGGAAAGCCCTGAGCCTGCACTTCTGGAAGGAGTCATGGTCTTCTCCTGCTGCATCATGGCCCACACTGGTGAGTCCCAGAGCCAGTTGGTCTAAAGCTCCCACTTGTAGTAGAGGAAATGATGCCCGTGGAGGGGGCATGGCTCAGAGGCCATGCGTGAGTGGGCATGACACAGGATGGAACCCGATCTCTGAATCTCCAGAGCCAGGGGATCCTGACTGATAGGAGGGCAGCACAGAAAGCTGATCTGGGAGCCTCCCCAGCCGGCCCAGCCTGCAGATGGAGAGGGCACAGGCTGGACTTGCCTCTGACCTGCTTGGTGAGGCAGTTAGGCCAGGGGGCTTCAAACAAATTCCACCAACTGGAGAAACAGTTTGAAACAACAGAAACATTTTTCCCAGTTGTAGAGACCAGAGGCCCAAGGTCCAGGCATCAGCAGGGCTGGCTCCTTGTGCAGGCTCCAAGGGACCATCCCCAGGCTCTCCTGCTGGGATCAAGGCTGCCCCACACCTGCCTTATGGGTGGGTAGTCTGGATAAGATATAGGGGACAGAGAGAGGGTCGCTGTTACTTGTCCCTTGCTGCTTACTGTCTTCTGCTGCCATGAACTGTGTCTCCTCAGCAGTGCCCGCCTACTGTGCCATCCTGCCTTGGAGCCAGACAACTATGGGCAGAAACCTCTACAAACTGAGCCAAAAAAAAAAAAAACTCCTCTCCTTTAACTTCAGGAGTTGGGTATTTTATCTCAGCAATGAGAATAGTAACCAGAACACTCACAAATGTGGGGTACAGTGAATGGCCTCAAGGTGTCCCACACATGGGACAGTGACTGGGGAGAGGCCAGCCCCAAGTAAAAATATTAAGGAATGAAATTCAGTGATCCCGGTGACACTGGTACAAATGTCAGAGTGTTTCCTCCCGAAGTTACCATGAACGGCGCTCTTCCTGAGGAGCGTCTTTGTGTCCCGCTGTACACTGTGTGGCTCCTGCATGGGATAAGGAACCTGCCCCTGGGGAAGGATACTCCAAAAAGTTCTCCAGGGTGTCTCAGGGTTCCATCTCCACTTAGCTTTCCATGAGCCATTTAGATCTTTCATTTTCCTCAGTCTGTCAGTTTAATTGTTATACTGTCTGCCTTTATGGATTGTTTCCCTTAGTTTTTGTAGTTTCCTCAAATTTTATGTTATTTTCAGCTTAAAATATGGGGTACTCTAGGACCCAAGTTATATTGAAACTGTGACACCATTAAAAATAACATTTACCAAAATAAAATGAGTCATTTCTTCTCATTATTTAACACCTCAAAAATTTTATATATGCATTGATTTTGGTATGAAATTGGTTCTTTTTCAGTATTTTCTAACCAGGTGCCAAAATGATCTAAGGAGTTGTTTACAAAATGTGTCCTAATTATTTGCCATTTTTTGACAAATCAATAAATTATTTGTGTAGAGTTGGCTCTGATTTGAGATTAAATAATGAATAAATGTATGCATGTCTCTCTCCGTGTGTGTGTGTGTGTGTGTGTGTGTGTGTGTGTACTTTATTATGAAACCTTTTCCTTAAATCAAATAGGATACATAAGAACCCTAGGGCTAGGGCTGGGTGGAGAATTTAACTCTCTAAGGAGGAGAAAGAATCACATGCCCACTGGATGGTGTTTAGCTGGGGGTCAGAGGTGAGACCAGATGTCACCACCTTCAGCAGGGCCATTGTCCCTTGAGTTTGAAATATCTGTGTCCTGGGTGGAATCGTGTACTTCTGAAATGCTGTCACGTGCCACTTATACATGCACAGCCCTACAGGACAAACAGATCAGGGCTAGTGACACCCCTGGAAGGCATGGAAGCTCTGAGGATACAAACCTTGACTGCTGTGAGAACACAAGGTGTCAGTACCATGCTTGCTGCATAATATGCTATTAATCCCATGCCATCTAACCTCTGAGACAGCACACGGGGGCAGAGGCCGGGAACCCAAGGCCCAGGCCACTTAGCTGTGGGCTTGGGACCAGTGTGGCTGACTAGCAGCACGTTTTCCAAGGTCAGCTCGAGAGGCCTTCCCTCACCTCTGGGGCAGCACCATGCATGAGACTGAGGCATCACAGACCGAGGTGACAGTCCAGGTCTGAGGATGACATTCCAGGTCCCTGGCAGAAGCTCAAGTACCCTGTGGCTGGTGGCACAAAAGTCAGGACCCCAGCTGTCATGGTTAGTGTCTAGACGACCCCCTAAAGCCACATACAGTTTTAGATGGGGCTTTGTTCAAGGTAGCTGAATCTAGAGTGTGTGATTGATTCATGGTGCAGTGTGGGCCTGAGGCTGCATGATTTCTGGAGCAGTCCACTGACCGGCTGGCACTGCCCTGATCCCAGGAGTCTGGATGTGACAGGGCAGGAAGAGGCTGCTTCTCACCCCAACCCCTTCTTTTTGCTCTTGCTGTCTTCTGCCACCATGGGCTATTGCCCCTCTGCCATGTGTCACCCTGCCTTGGAGGCAGCCAGCACAGACTAATACCTTTACAACCTTGGAGCTAAATAAAGGGCCAGATTTGTTTTAACCTGGAGCTAAATAAACCTTTTCCTTTTTAACTTCAGATTTCAGATATTTTGTTTTAGCAATGAGAGAAAAGTAACTAACATACCAGCTCTGCCTGGGTGCATCCTCATTTCATTTCAGTCTCACTGGTCTCCATAGGGACACACACTAGAGGGCCACCTGTCCCTATCTTACAGGTTCCTGAGGCTCGGAGATGTCAAGGGATTTGTTCAGAGTCACACAGCAACTTCCAGGACAATATCTGTCTGTGCATCTTTTGCCTACATCCTCAGAAAAGGTGATCAGAGAGGTTGAGGCTGGGGCTAACACAGGCGCACAAGACACCGACCTTCCCCGAGATGGTCTTAATCTGTTTGGAGCTCAGCGGCTCGAAGTCCACACCGATGTAGCCCTCCATGGCCGCCAGCAGGTTCTTCCGCAGGCATCGGGAGGAGTTGGCCTCGGTGCGCACCTGCTCCCACCAGGAGGGCTCGTACCAGCCAGGGATGATCCACTGGTATTTGCTGCCGAACATGTTCTCCTCGAAGGCCTGCAAAAGAGGAAAGGTGTGGTGAGCACTGAACACGGGCTTGGCGTGCACCATCCTGCAGGACCAGGCATCGATGAGCTGCCTTCTCCAAGGAGCAGTGTCTTTGCTGCTATTTTATTACACAGATTGTTCATAAACTACCTTAGGTCCCTAGAGGGGGGAGACAGGAGACCAAAGGAATGAAATTCAGTGTATGTAAATAAGCTGCACACTCACCAGGAGCATCCTGGAGGCCCAAGAGAGAAGGACAATAAGATTATTAATGAAGCTTTTATTACAAATAAGGATAACAGCTCTTTGGGGAAACACCAGGTTCCCATCAGCAGTGCAAAGGTCCAATGGTGACCAGAGAACTTGTGGGTGGGCGGAGATGCCAGTGTCCCCTGAAGGGCCAGACTTGGTTTAACCTGGAGCAGAGAAGCCCTTCAGTGCCTCCCTAGAGACTCCTTGGCTGTTGAAGGACATGATGGGAACAATTTATGTCCCACTAGGGCATCCCTTGGCACAGAGCAGGGCCAGTGGTGAGAGGCCAGAGGGCATTGTGGGGAGCCGAGCAGGTGCTATGTGTGGCTCAAGTGGCTCTGGCCTCTCACTTAGGCTGCAAAGCTGGAGCCCTGCCTGCTTCCTTCTGTTACAGAAAAGCTGCTGCGGTGCCTAAGATCATCCCATGTCCCAGGAGGTGTCTGCTCAAACTCTTTTGCCTGAGAAAGGCCCCCTGCAGCGCAGAGCCTCTTCCCTGAGGGTGGGTTAGAAGGTTTGAGCCTTAGCTTAGGCTCACAGTGTAGTAAAAAAGTCCTTCAACTCCCTCAAGGCAGTGACCACACTCCCTCCTCTCTAGGCTTCTCTCACAAAAGGGGACCATCACCTTCCTCACTTTAAACACTGTACTTCTCATAATGCAACCTCAGATTATAATCATTTTTCCAGTGACTACATTATAATGTTACCCTGAATTTTCATATTTCAATTACTTTCATAAAATTTCCATTGAACAAAAAGCAAGCAAGGGCTCAGATACTTAGAGAATTTGCTCCCGGGATACCTGGTAATGAGTGGTATTTAGTCCACAGAAATTTTTGTTTAAAAGAGCAGTTAATGCCAGACCCTGAGTGGGGATGGGCTGTTCAGACAGAAGGAAAATCCCAGCGACACCGGACCATTCGATCAGCAGCAGCTCCTGCCTGTGCCCCCAGGGGCCCTACGTGTCCAAAGCCTCTATACATGCATGGCTGTGTATGTGTTATTTCATTCTCACAAAGCGCCGTGAGCTACGTGTACACCTCTGCCTTCCACAGGAAGAACCTGGGCCCAGGCCCTGAGGAATTTGCCTGAACTCAACCAGTAAGTCGTAGGAATGAAGCCCTCTCTGTTCTTGGAAAAGCAAAACACATGTGGGCCACTTTCTTAGTCTCAGGGCTTCAAGGAGGGAAGCCATGTACGGGCAGGCAGGTACAGAGTGATGGCACTGAGGCCTCTGCTCAGAGGTAAAAGCAGGTTTCTGTCACTCACTGAGGACCAGGGCCATGGGGCAGGTGTAGGAAGCTGGCCCTGCTACTGTGGCTGCCCCACTTGTGGGTGCTCACACACACTGTCCAGACCACAGATAGGCCCTGAGCCCACACGAATGGCAACACACTGATCAACTTCAATGAGGTGAAACTTTTGCTAATGTAACTTCTGACCTCCTTAGAATAAAAAAAACAGAAAAAGACAAAGAAGCCAGCTGGGCAGCCCTAGGTGCTCTGCTACCTGCCAGCTGGGTCCCTATCATGCAGCCCCAGGCCTACTTTTCTAGGCTGGTTTGAGTTAAATGAGACCGTAGCAGTTGTACTTGCACCACCGTGTTCAGAGCCATTCCGGTTGTTCCTCCTGCCCCTTCCTCCTCTCAGAGCCCCATAGTTCCATCCACATCACCATCACAGGCCCACGCACAGTGCGCTGCTGGGCTAGGAGAAGGCCCTGGTGCCAGCTGTCCCCATGAGTCTGTCCCCACGCGTCTGTTCCCACACAGCTTCAGATCTACCACTCAGCCTTCTTTGTCCCCTCCTATCTGCGGGTCTGGGCTGCCCCTTCTCACCGTCCTCAAGTCCCTCTCCTCACTCTGACTCTGCTGCTCTAAATCTGTGGTAGGCTGGGAAAGCAGGGCACCTGTCAGCGCCAGGTAGAGCAAAAGCCCATGGGTGCTGGGTGGACGGTGACAGGCTCCTTGGGCCTGGAGGAACGAGACTTAGATCGCGCCTCCCTCCGGGGCCCCTGGGCTGGAGGAGCTGGGATCGCTATGCTAGGGTTTCTGCGCCGAGGAGCCCATCTGTGTCCTCTGCTGCTAGCGGATCCTGGAGGTGGTGCTGTCCCAGATGTCCTGTGCTCAGCCGGGTGCCTGCTGCACAGAAGAGCTCAAGTCATGGCAGCACGCAGAGCCAGTGAAGGTGCCAGGCTCCCCGATTCTTCAGTCACCCTGATTTTCATTTTCCCCACTGGAGGCAGACAGATGTATCTGCCCCAAGGCCACCAGATGGGCCTTTCCTACAGATGGGCATACTACGTTCACAGTCTTCAGACCCATCAACTGTTCTAGTTCTCATGAACTACACACATGATGGGAATATTTAAAACAAAATCCCTCATTTCATTTGGGTTCCTTTTGCTTCCTCCCTTCCCACACAAGAGGAAGGTATCCAGCAAGAGGAGTGACGACTCTGCATTGACAGAGCAGTTCAAAGCTGGGGGAAGACTCCCCCCTTTGGTGGCTTTGCTTAAAAATCACAACTGTATGAGGCTGATAGGACAGAGATCACTGCTTCCATCTTAGCTCAGGCAGCTGGGACCAGAGATGTAAAGTGGCCTGCCCAAGGACACACAGCTGGTAGCACTGAAACTAGAATGTGGCTCAGAGTGTGGGCAAATTGAGACCAGACCAACTGTGTGCCAGAGCCAATATGAACATTTTGGCACAGGGCTATAAATAGCCTGGCATGTGCTTGCATCTGCCCTCCCATTGGGTGGCAGCTCCAATCTCAAGAACACAGCAACATGCTGCATTTAGACAGCAAAGCCATGGTCTCTGTGTGGCCCATGACAAGGACAGAAAAGCGCTGTTGGGGTGTCTGCTCTGAGCAGTCCCTCCCTCTGCCACTCCAGCATTGGCCCAGGTACAGACTGAGCAGACTCCTCTGCTTCAGGGCCTCTGTCCTAACTGGATGCACTGTGTGCTCTTGGGAGCAAGTCCCAGCTGAGGGTCCGACATGGGGACTTGGCTCTTGGTGAAGGACTGGCAGACTCTAACAGCAGCCTCGCTTTACAGTGCCTGATTCTACAATGGCAGGGTGGGAGGTGGGGTGGGCTCCCACATTGTGTGGAAGGCAGCTAGATAATTCATAGCCACAAAAGCCACCAGAAGCCACTTCAGCATAAGGCCAAGGTAAACTCACAGCCATGTAGGACATTGGTTTGGCTTGCAAAAAGGAGATGCCCATCTTTGCCTGGGGTGGCATCTTCGTGGATCCCTTATTAATTTATTTTTCCTGGGCTTATTTGTCTTCCCCAGTTGGCTAACACCAGCTGCCACCAGACACTGGCTCTGTCTAAGGCCTGGGGATGCAGGGGGAGAAAAATCCAGTTTCTTCCTCAAAATGTTCTCCAAATTCTGGTTCTATTTTTCTTAATAAAATGGGCCACCCTTAAGCTTTTAAGGGCCTGGGGGTAAAGTCCTTAAATCTGCATTTTCTGTGTACATTCAGCTGCGCTTATGCTCCTCCTCAGCATAAGATCTGGAAGGACCTTGTGCTGTTCCTGCCAAGTCATCAGGTGCTGCTGGGCAGTGCACAGAGCCCGTCAGAACCATCACCATTCCATGCCACCTCCACACACTTGAGATGCTAAAAGAGCCCGACATCTGCCATGGGCTTGCGGGCTCGGGCACCAGGCCAGGGTGTCTGTGCACTCAGCCTCCTCTCGGCTCTGGAGGGCTGAGGCATTACTGTGCTGGCTGACAGACGAGGCTCAGAGAAGGCACACAATGTGTCAACCCAGTGCTGTGAGGCAGAGCCAGGACTCAGCCTGGGGCCAGCTGACTCCTGAGTGCTGAGGCCACCCAGAGCCTCCAGAAACTTCAGCTTGGCCATGCTTGTTCCGGTTCCTGTCCTTTTCAGCCCCTGCATCTCTCCTGGAAGGAGACACCAGGGGCGAGGTGGGGCACCCAAGGCCATCCTAAGCAGAGAGCAGAGGGACACTCCACCCTGGTGTGCACTTGAAGTCTGAGGTCACCTTGGTCCTCTGGCAGCTATACTCACCTGGTGACCTTAGTCAGAGGGCAGTGATAAAATGGGGATTATGGCGAGCCCATTCCCCAGTTCTGCTGCCACCATCTTAAAGGGAGGAAGCTCCACTTGTTCCAAGATAACTTAAATTAGAATCATTAGATTTTACCTTCTTGGATTTAATCAAATGTTCTAGCCTATTCTGGTTTTTCATACCCTGGCTCAGCCATCTGACATAGTTCATGACTTCTACAATTTTGATAAGGTGGCAGTGGTGGATTAACTAAAGGCCAACTTGTAACACCCAGCTGAACTGAATCAGCATGGTTCTGGGGGTGGATCATTGCCAACAGCATAAAAGGAGAACCGAAAGGGAAGGTGGTGTGCTGTTAATTCTCCTGGAGAAGTGTGTCATGCTGACTTTCCTGATAGGAGCTGTTTTCATCATGGGAGTAGCTCAGGACCTCGCTATTGCTGAGGATGTCTTTGGTTCTGTTTGAGGAAGCTCTGCTCCTTACATTGAGCTCCAGTGTAGATCTCTCAGCCTGCTGGCACAGATCCTTCATCCCCTCTGGTGCAGACTTTCTAGCTTTCACCACTGCTCTTTGCATCTTTCCAGTACAGATCCTTGATAGAGACTTGCAGGAGACATTGTCGTGGGCTCTCGGCCTCCAGTGGGACTCGCGGAGGGCATTGCCAGGGGACCCAGGCCCTCGGCTGGATTCTTTGGGTCTCTAGTGTGTAGACAGATCACTCTTTTGCATTTGACTCTTTGGGTGGGTATTAGAGGACAATCCTATAAATTATGCTTCCCAGATTAAATTTATTCCCTTATAAGTCTTGACTATAACTGTGGCTATTTATAACTTTACCCAAGTTATTTACACAAAGTGACAAATGTCACTCCTAGAGACTACACCCAGGATGTCAGTGTAAGAGGAGGCTATTGGGTACACCATGGATCATGTGCTGGGCCTCACTCTGCTGGACATTCTGCTGACCTGGGTGGAGGAGGGGAGACAGAGCAGCAGACATTAACAGATTGCATTCCTAGGTCAGTGCTGTTAGTCTATTACTATGTACAAGATCGTGGAGAAAAGCTCATTGTTTAGAGTAGGTTGAGAATTGGGTGACCAGGACTGAGCCTTGGCTCTGCCACACCATGGCTAAGGTAAACTTCTTTGCTTCTCTGGGCCTCTGTTTCCTCATTTATAAAACGGGATAATGATAGTTGCCTCTCAGGGTTGTCCAAATAAGTAAAAGTATGTTTTGAGAAATAAAAATATATTTTGTCACATCATGCAACAGATAACTATGAAAGACTCAGGGTTAGAGAATGAAGAGTTAACAGCTCCTAAATTTCAGACTCCGCATCCTACTTACAGGCCAGGGAGGAGACCGAAGGCTTCCATCTCAGCTGGTGTCTGGCATCTCCCTCTGCCTGCAAACTATGGGGCCAAGTGTGTTTAGCAGTGGCTACCAGTGCTTCACCAGTGGTCACTGTGGCCTTGGAGACTGCGTTCTGACTCCCTGGGGTGGCTTTCTGAGTAGAGGGAGCAAGAAGCGGAAGGCTCTATTCCCCAAAACCCAGGCTCCAAACATGGTGGGACCAGGCAGGGAGGAGAAGGTTGGTGAATCACAGACACAAACAACACCCCATGTTACTTACACAACAGAACACTTTTGCTGCCATGTTCTGGTCAAACTGGCCAAGTATGATCCTCACGTCATTCCCCTGTGGACAGAAGGACATGCAGGTGAAGGTGGGTGATGTCACACATTTCCTGGCATGCAAGCCCAGGGGAAGAGAACAGTTCTGGGCCTGACTTCCAGCCACAGGTTCCACTTGGCCTTGATGCACAGAACCTCACCCTGTCTAGCCACTCTGCTTCTCTGAGGACTGCCCTGGTTTCCACAGCTGTCTTCCCTGGTCTGGCATTGGGGAGGCTGGGGCAGAACTGCACCAACTGGAGGTCATAGTGGTTGGAGGGGGCTGAAAGGGCCCTGGAATTGCCCCTGCTCACCTCCATCTGTGATTAGCAAACCCCAATGGGCACTGAGATATCATCTAATCTTTACTTTCCATACAGGGAATCTGAGACCAAGAGAGATAAGACACTTCCAAGGGAAATAGCTGGCAGCAGAGATAAGACTCTGTCCATCCTCTCCCAGTGTGCTAGACTTTTCTGTCTTCTTGACATTCATTCTCTGAAGACATTTGTGGAGTCTACAGAGCTTCACATGTAAGAGTCTCTTCAAGCATTGCCCAAATCTCAGCTCCACCAAGGCTCGGGCGGTCTCAGGTGTCTCCTTTTCTCACCTTGGCCTTAATCTCCTCAACCGAGAGGTGGGATCAGAGTAGCACCTACTTTATGGAATGCTGTAAAGATTCAAGATCCTTGTGAGGAGCTTAACACAGTGCCTGGCACACAGCAAATGCCTAGAAAAAGCTAGCTGGACCTTAGTATTTTATAACTTTCCCTGGACAAATTTTAAGGAAAATTTATATTTGAAAGCTGTATAAAAGAGATTATGTTTATTATCTCAGTGTGGTTAATAGGTGAGTACTGTACAACAGTCCCTGTAACTCTTTCATTTGTTCAACAAGCAATTACCAACACCTACCTGAGGCTCTCCCCCTGGGCAGGCAATCGGCCCCTGCTTGTCTTCTAGAGGACTGGGATACAGTTTGTTTTATAGAGACAATCAGGCCACACTGGGCAGTTTCCAGGCACAGAGCTGGGCCCTGATCCACACCTGCTCCCACACAGCGGCCTCCTGGCCTCTGTATCGAGGCCCAGCTTTGGGGGAGGTGCTCCCTTCCTGCTGTTCTTCACCCCCTTTAGCAGACCTCAGGCCTTTGATGCATGAAGAAGAGAAACATGCCCTTAAAGATCAGTTTTTAGCATCTTTCAAAATTGGAAAGTGCTGACTGGGAGGCCATTTTACTCATCATGTACTTTAGCAGAATAAAAAAGGCTGCATTCTAAAATCATCCTCCGTTTGCAAGCAAGAATGGAAAGAAGAGGAAAAACTTTCTCTGAAAGGACTTTAAAGGATCGTTGAGAGAGCAGTTGAAGGAAAGCAAGCCTCTGTCATCACCACGTCTGCAATGCTATAAAAAGTTCTGAGCTGCTTCCGTTTCATGGACAGGCTCCCAGGCACTCTCCAGGGTCTTTCTGCTTGTTGGCTGAAATCTTTTATCATTGCTTGCTGCTAACATTATCCATCCATCTGTCTGCTGTCCATCCATCTGTCTATTCACCCATGTACCCACCCACCCACCCACCAATCCACCCATCCACCCACCAATCTACCCATCCACCCATGCACCCATCGATTGATCGATCCATCCATCTATCTACCCACTCACAAACCCACCCACCCACTCATCCATCAGTCTATCCATCCATCCATACATCCATTGATCCATCCATCCATCCATCCATCCCACTAGGTTCCCACTAGCTTCCATGACATTCCCTGACATGCTCCCTGGTCACACCTTCTCAGATACTTCCACATCAACTCCTGATCTTTCTGTCCCTCCTCAAATGCTGTTATCATGCTGTTGGCTCTTGGTTCTCATTATGCTCTGGATAGCCCCACTCATGACATGGCCACAGTTGTTGTGTGTGTGCTGTGGATTGTCAAACTTCTGTCCTCAGCCCAGATCTGTTCTCATTCTATAGGAATGGTACCACCAGCTTTCCACTCACCTACTTGGAATTGGGAATCTGCTTAGATTCACTCCTCTTCCTTACTTCCCCCATTCAAGCTCTAGCCAGAGCCTGTTGCTTCCATCTGCTCACTGGATCTCAAATCAGCCCCATCCCTCCAGCCCTACTGACCTGGCTTTAGCCACTCTCCTTCCTTCCTTGCAGAATGGCTGGATCTCCATCTCTAATTGTACCCCATGCACCCTGAGCTCCATAGAGTGGAGGAATGGGCCATACCAAGGTCTAGACAGGACAGTGGAAAATCCTTCCATGCTTTGAGGGAAATCCTTTGAGCTTCTGAGGCTCAAAGCTCAAATTCTGAAATCTTTAGAACATTGAGATTCTTTACCAACTTCCTCATGCACACTTCTCCACCACGTTTCTCACTACTTCTCTGTGGCGGTAAGGATATATTTCTCAAAACATGCTTGAAAATCATTCATTCACTCATTCACTCACTCATTCATTCATTCATTCATTCATTCATTTATTCATAGTCCCACTTTGTGCCTTTCTGAAAGCTCATCCATCCAGAGCACCCTTCTTTCTAAACTCTCATTCTGCACTGCTACCCACCTCTCCTGCCCCAGTTCAGCCCTCTACTCTGATAAGCTAGCTTTCTGTTCTCCTGTGCTTGGTGGCCATTTCCTGTTCTGTGAGCCTGGGACACCCTGCAGTCCTATCTAGTCTGATATAAGTCCACTTATTTTTCTGTCCCCACTCCTCAGTGCTGAAGGCACTGTGCTTCATCTGTATGAACACAGCTCCCAGCACAGGGCACAATACACATATTGGTGAGTGTTCACAGCCTGCAGGATGCAGTGACTGGACACTATGTGCAGCATGAGCACCACATAGGCTGCTCAGTGACTATCAGTGTTACTGCTACTGCAATGATCACATCTCCTGCTAGTCCTAGGGCCTGGCACCCATTGAGTTCACCATGTCAATTTTTCATGTAGACCAAAGGACCTGCTTCTTCATAGATGACCACTTGCTGGCAGATAGCTAACTACCTCTGCCCCTTGTGGGCCATTTAGTATCCCATTGCCATGACAACCAGGCTATATGAACCCCTTGTTCCTTTGTGCCCAGGCTGTTAGGTATGGTTGTGACAAGAGATCACTGATCTAGTTAGTTCCTTCCCAGAGTGGCCAAAGGGTCTCCCCAAGGCTGCATAGCACCCCAGGCACAGAGCTCTCACTCTGAGGCCCCCGGCTCTCAGATAATGATCCTACTGGAGCCAGGTACTACATGAAGCAGGAAGCTGTCCACACCCATTCTACTTCTGGAGGGCAAATGGAAGGGATCATGATGCTGGCCAGTCTGGAACAGCGGGAAAGAGCCACTCCCAGGGAGAGGAGATGGAGTTTTCAGCATTTCACAGGTGTAATATGTCCTAGGCCTGAGGTGGTGCCTCAAGGGCATGAAAAACATGAGTATGTCTGGTTCTTCATTCTGTAGCAGCATCTAAGTAGCAGTCAGGAGCATGGGGATGGGATTTGGAGAATATCAACAATTTGCACACAGATATGCATGCCCTCACAAAAGTTCAGAATCATATTCCTCCGAGCTGCATAACTTGAAAGTTCAGAGTAGAATGAGAAATTCGGGTTTGGCAGTGGGCCCTGCCTCTGGTCAAGACCTCCAATTTCCAGTCAGGAGAAGAAGCTCACCTTCCCAGGTTCAAAGGGGCCATTTAAGGGATACTTGAGGGTGAGCGTCTCAGAAGAGAGCTGTGAAGTTAGAGATGGGATGCCCGGCTGAGGGCAGGGTCTGTAGAACCTTTAGTGGGTCCACTCTTCAGTGGCTGCCTAGAGTGAAAGAGTTGACTCTGTGGTGGTACAAATGATAACTTCCTGAACTGTAAACTATGTAGGGTGGTCTATGTTTATACCCAAATGAGGCCAGTGCCACAGGGAGGGTTAAACAGGAAGCAAACAGCCGTGTGTGTATGTGTGTGTGTGTGTGTCCCACCTTAAGCCTCCCCCCCCCCTGCCCCGAACTGCAGAAGTTTGAGATGAGGCCACTGAGTTTTCTCTGGAGAAGAGCCCAAGGTCACCCAAATCCTTCAGACCTCTTTCTCTCTCTTTTGTTTTTGTACTGAGGATCAAACTCAGGACCTTGCACTTGCCAGGCAGGTGCTTATGCCATTGATCAGCCCTTCCTCTCATCTGTTGCCTAGGACTTCTTTGTCTCCAAGATGCCTAAAGAGACCTGACATTACACACACACACACACACACACACACACACACACACTACACACACACTTAAGGATGACCCAATTCAAAGAGGCTGTGTAACCCCAAGGTTGCAAGGAATCTGAACACAGTAACACTAAGGTCCTTCCTGGCCATCATGCTAAGAGACACACGACCCCACCTTGAGAGGTGCCATTTCTATGCCCACTGTGGGGAGTTCCATGAACAAACAGAGACTCCTAGAATTAAGCACTTCTCCCAGGTGCTGTAAACACATGGCTTCACTGGATACCCACTTCCCCAGCACTGGCACATGCTAAAGCTACAGTGAGGGGCACTGCTGACAGCTCACCCACTTCTTTTAGAAGTATCCCAGGGTTTATGCCCCAGAGACCCCTGTGAGGCCAAATGAAACTAATTCTCAATCGAGACAGCACTGGTGGTCAGGCTGGGTTTTCTTCCTGCCTTAACCTGCTGCCCTCCTTTCCTCTATGATCTCCTCCCCCACAGATCACTTCCACAAGAACCCCAGGCTCTGCTTCCAGGGACTCAACCTAAAACACCTGGTCACACAGGTAGGACATGGTGGCACTGGGCCTGACCTCAGGTCATGTAGACCTAAAGCTTTAGGCCTTTTCCGCTCACCTCTGCCTACTGCTTTCCAGACTGAGAAAGCAAACCCCACCAAGCCTGAGCCGTCTGGGCTCAGCCCCCAATCTGCAGCTTCAACTCATGGTGAAAAGTCACACAATTTTTAAGCAAAAGGGTGTGAGTGGCACATGAGATCCTGAGTCACTGGAGCAGCTGTTGTGC